TATGGATCACAGATGGAACAAAATTCTGTGCACAAGTAGTAGTAGTAATTAGTAAGTAGTAGTTTATTTTAGTCTTTATATACAGGTGTATATTAAGGCATTTTAAACCCTTCCCACACTCTTGCAACGTTCTAAACTTTTTACGTCATTTTAACAGCATACAGTGCTGTATATGTAGCTACAAAATTTTACTTACCGGGCCCTGCAGATCAAGAGCAGCTCGGCTTGTTTTGGTCTGACTCTGTTCTGTTTCTGCAAACGTACTCTGCAGTATCCCACAATCAATGTTCTAAACTCTTAATCCTACTAATTTTAACAACAAACTCATACTAATTTTTACTTACCAGCATGTCCCCGCTCGGAGGTTCTCATCGGTCAGTTCAAATATGTAAAAAAAAAAAAAAGACCCGTTAAGCTTCAGATGGACAACCGGATCATCAGCCACGTGCATCCACTAACCGGCCGATTGAAAGAGGTAAAAAATAAAAGTCCTGTTAAGCTCCTGATGAATCAGCAGATCATCGGCCACACGCGTCCGGCTCAGGGCTCATTGTTGGCCTGTTGAAACTGGTCAAAAACGTTCCATTAAGCTTCATATGGACAACCAGATCATCGGCCGCACGTGTCTACTGACCGGCCGGTTGAAAGAGGTAAAATAAAGTCCCGTTAAACTCCCGATGAATCACCAGATCATCGACCGCGCGCGTCCCGCTTACGGCTCATCGTTGGCCTGTTGAAACTGGTCAAAAAAGTCTCATTAAGCTTCGGATGGACAACCGTATCATGAGCTGCACGTGTCCACTGACCGGCTGGTTGAAAGAGGTAGAAAAAAAAAAAAAAGTCCCGTTAAGCTTCAGATGGACAACCGGATCATCAGCTGCACGCGTCTGCTGACCGTCCGGTTGAAAGAAGTGAAAAAATTCCCGTTAAGCTTCAGATGGACAACCGGATCATCAGCCGCACGCGTCCGCTGATCGTCCGGTTGAAAGAGGTGAAAAAATTCCCGGTAAGCTTTAGATGGATCACCGGCTCATCGGCTGTGTGCGTCCTGCTCAGGGCTTGTCGTGGGCTGGTTGAATGACATGAAAAATGTCCTGATGGGCTCAGGACATAGCGTTGGACCTTCGGTCGTTTGCTCGGAGGTCCACATGGGCGGGCTACCAGCCCGCCCATACTCACCGATGGGACTGGAAATCTGGTTCTGCTCCGGGGCGCCGATCAAATCAAAACTTTACCTATGTTTTTTTTTTTTTTTTTTAGCAGAAGAAACAGGGCTTTTGTGTGGGGCCCTGTTGCCTTCTGGGAAATGTGGTCTTATGAGCGGGAATACAGTGCAGGTTTTCCGATAGAAAACTACAAAATGACGCCACATGTCTGAAATATATATTTTTTAAACTTTTTTACTGTACAGTAATGTATCCAGTACTCTCCCAATCATGTGAGTAATATCAATTAATTAAATTATTATTATTATTGTCCAGTATATATATTATAGACTGTACGTTCACAAACTGCAATAGAACGAGTCCGCAAAAGTCATATCGCGAAGTAGCGAGGGACTACTTTATCCTTCTTTCTGTGCAGCACTGTTCTCTTGTATTCATTGTGTGAATGTTTATGAAGCATTCACTCTGTTGTGATCCATTTTTCTTCCGTGAATTTTTGGCATCATTCTCGTTCCACAGTTTTTGTGCTGTTTCAACAATTCATTAAATCAAAACACTCAGGTGCCACTTTAGCTTTTTGAAATATTTAGCCTTTTGTGCCACTTTATTTTTCTCATAGAAAATGAATTGAGCTCATTTTACATCCTTCAAATCTTTAGATGTGTTTACAAACTTTTACTGCTCCTTTCACATTTTGTTCTGGTTCAGCTTCATTGTGCAAATTTAATCATTTTTCAGCTACTTTCTGCTAATTTTAGCTGTTTTTCAGGTGTTTTGTGCTTTCAGATTCTTTCTGTTAATTGCAACATTTTTGTGCTTCTTCTAACTTTTTTCTGCAATTTCAGCTACTATTTAGCTGTTTGCTGATTTTAGCTTTTTACAACAATTCCCTATTTTTTGCACTGATTTCAACTTTTTTCAGCCGAATTCAGCCAGAATGTGCTCTCTCCACTTCCTTCTGGTAATTTAAGCTTCATTCTGACTTTTCAGCTAATTTTTGCATTTTTAGCTAATTTCTGAATTTTTTACTAATTTTTTCCTATTCAAACCTAATTCAGCAAATACATTTTCTTTCTGCTGCTAAGTTAGACTTATTCTTGCATTTCATTTACCACATATTTCAGCTGTTTTTTCAGCAAGTTCTTTATCAATAAGCATTCACACTGCATTTTCGCAGGAAATGCAGTTTCTCTAGTTCAAGAGTGTCAAACTCACTTACAAAAGGGGGCCAAAAAAAAAAAAATTTTTTAAATTCAAGCTAAGGGCCGATTCCAGAATCTACATCAACTTAAATCAGATACCCAACATCTTTTCTTTGTCACAGGTTCCTCAACAAGAGTTTGATTGGTCTCATTTGATGTTCTCTGATGTGCTTTTTACATCATAATCAAAGATTACTGAAAAAATTCAAGAGATAAAAGTATTTTAAGTTTCACGTATCATCTTGGGGGCCAGATAAGATGTCATCGAGGGCCACATTTGGCCCCTGGGCCTTGAGTTTGACACATATGATCTAGTTACATTTTGAATTTGTCGTTTTAGAGCTTCTGCTCCCGGGGAGAACATCTACTCATACCTGAACAGACATTTGAGTCTGATGGCTCTCTCAGGTTCTGCTGTGGACCTGCTGGGATCCAGCCTTCATGTGTGGCCAGATTTCCACGGGAACAGGTCGCCACTCGCTGACCCAACTTTGAAAGGCATGGTGAGTTGCTGGCCGAACTCTTCAAATGATTCCTTCGTCCCGCCTGTTGATCTGTAACGTCCAACATGTACGTCCTTCCTGTCTCCAGTCATTTCCGGTCATGAGTTGTTGTGTTCCTGAGCCCTGGTTGTTTTGCAGGTGGTGGGGCTGTCTCTCTCCCAGACCTTGGATGACTTGGCCCTGCTTTATCTAGCTACCATTCAAGCCATCGCTGTAAGCCCCATGTTAGAAACGAAACAACCTCTTCTGCTCCTCACTTCATGCTTCTTGGAAACAGACTCCTCTTGTGTTGTGTTCTTCTCTTTCAGCTTGGAACACTTCATATTTTGGAGGCCATGAAAGCAGCAGGACATGACATCAGCACCCTCTTCCTGTGTGGCGGGCTGAGCAAAAACCCCCTGTTTGTGCAGATCCAGGCCAATGCTGCAGGTACACTGCAGAGGGAATGCTTCCAGCAGACTCGCCCTGAAATATTTTGAATGCTTTGTTGTCCTTTGTCAAAGAGCGAAAAGGAGAATTGATAACTTGAAAAATAAGTCGTCTGCCGGCTTCAATCTTGGTGCATCTAGACGCAACAAACATCCCTATCAAAAATTGTGTTGCCCCATTTAAATTTAAAATGGCCAACACCATTTATATGTAAACCAGCCACCCCATTCAGTCGAGGAACCTCTGCTTTAGGGCTGAACGATTTTAGAAAATATTCTAATTGCGGGTTTTTTTTACCTCCATATTGCGATTTAATATGCAATTTTTTTTTAATAAACACAAGCAGTAAATCTGTTTCAGTTGTTAAAAACTCCACTGTTTTCAGCTCCGCTGCAACTCTTGTTTCTGTATTTTTTTGTATTGCTCCAGGATAAAACTTGGCTAAAATGTGTACGCGAGGGCATTCTGTACCACTTATCCACTGTGTTCACCAAAGCTGTAAACCCAGGCCTGGTCTCTATATTAATGAGCATCATGTCTTTCACTATGAACTCTGTTACTGCTCGAGTTATTTCCTCGAGTTATTTCCTCGAGTTATTTCCTCGTGCCATTTTGAATTCTGTTCATACAGAATAATACCTTCGAACAGTTCTGTCAATGATCTCTGTCGGCTGGTACTTTGCTTACTTGAAGCAATATTATTACAAATGCAATTAATTGTTCAGCCCTGCTTTCTAATCTAACAAAGTAAAGTCAGGTCCTCTGGACAGATTCTTCTCGTTGATTCTTCCTCTTCTCAACAAGAAGAATCCATCCAGAGGACCTGACTTTACTTTGTTAGCTTTTTCTATCTGGATAATTGAGCATGCATCATGATATTTAGATCTGCTTTCCAATGTTTATATTGCTTAAAAGTATAGTTTGTCAAATGATTGGGGTGGCTGAAGTCCAAAAACGTTCATGTTAGAGTGCCTTTAGGTCCAGGCCTGCCTTTCAAAACAGATGTGTGATCTCTGAGGGACCTGCCTGATTAAATACCGGTTAAATAAATGAGATTAATCTGGTGGCCAAGACCACCAGTGATGATGACCATGATGATCCTTGCAGGTGTAGCGCTCCTCTTGTCAGAGCTCTTGTACTTACTTAACTTTCTACTGCAGAGCATTTGTACATTTAAAAGTCAGTTTTATGAAAGAAAAATGTGTAAAACCATCAAAGTTTAAAAGCTGATTATGGAGCTTGTGAGATGAGACATCATGAAATCAGGATAAAGTTTGACAGAGAGAAATAAAGCTGACCTGACTGAGTCTCTGAAGCAGAATGGTCTTGTTGGTGTCTCCTCAGGACTGCCCGCGGTGCTGCCACATCAGACGGACGCTGTTTTAGTCGGAGCAGCGGTGCTCGGAGCGTGTGCCTCACAGGAGTATGGCTCAGTACAGGTTAGTGTTGTAGTACTTGAGACCGAGGGTTGAAACTGAGGGTTTCTGAATCCAGGTCTCAGAATGGAGATTTTGGGGGAACCCCCCTCAGAGGTGTGAAATGCTCCACAAGTACAATTTATAAACAGTTAATTTAACAGTTTTTGGTCCAGTTAGAACCAAAACTAAAGCTGTGGAACAGCTCTGGACTAATGGGAAACTCAGTGTCTCCATGCGCACTCCAGGCGTCTGCAATCCAGCGTTTCTCTGCTCTAATAACAGTTATAATAAATAACAACAGTTATTAAATAACAACAGTTATAATAAATAACAACAGTTATAATACATAATAACAGTTATAATAAATAATAACAGTTATAATAAATAACAACAGTTATAATAAATAACAACAGTTATAATACATAACAACAGTTATAATACATAACAACAGTTATAATACTTAACAGTTATAATAAATAACAACAGTTATAATACATAATAACAGTTATAATAAATAACAACAGTTATAATACATAACAACAGTTATAATACATAACAACAGTTATAATACTTAACAGTTATAATAAATAACAACAGTTATAATAAATAATAACAGTTATAATACATAACAACAGTTATAATAAATAACAACAGTTATAATA